GCTATAGATATTTCTTACCATTCTTATTCCATGTGAAAGTATCCCGAAGTTTCTGTCCCTCAATCTCCATGTCCAGCCTGATGGGGACCAGCATCTCGGGCATGTCCGAGTTTTCATGGATGATAGCTGGGTCGTGATCGTCGTAGCTACAGAGAGGGAACCATTACAATGTTACACGGCTGAGATAAAGATGTTACAAATGGCAAAATGTCAGGAGGGGATTTCCTTTGACACAATTCAACTAGGGCCGTTTCAGAGGAAATTATTGTCCTTACATGCCGTTAAGAAGCAAATGACCAACGGTCAGATCATAGTTTGCTCTCAAACTTGCCTACATATCACAGACCTGTTTGTTTCATATGGATCTGGATCTCGATCAGTGATCCTAAAGCTGGTTCGCTCCATCCATCAGGTGGGTTTGGGTGTTTATACACCAATGACGGATCACTGATCATGATCCGGATCCGTGTGAAACAAACACGGCCAAATTCTGGTTCGTTCCAACCCTTGACCAAAACTTGTTTATTGCCGACTCACCACATGGGGAAGGTTCGTTGTCTCTTGGGGCCCACCCGGTTGCGGGCGATACTGGTGGAGCAAGGCACGGCGTCCAGATGGTGTGAGCTGTTGGGCAGGGCAGGCACCCAGTCCCTACTTCGCTTGGGCTTGGATTCCCTGAGGGCATTGGAGTCTGTGCTGATGGCTACGGCCTTGTACTTGGCATCGTTGCCCTCCAGAATCTCTTCTACCTCGGGGGCCTTCAGGAGGGTGACATTGGTGGCCAGGCCGTGCTGACCGAAACCTGCAGTTAAAACCAGTCAAATACTCTGCATAAAGTCTGAGGCATTTAAACAGGAGATCGGTTCCTTTCCTCGCATTTCACCTCGGCGGCCCGGGGGCTTGATTCCCATCCCTGTCCACATGTGGATTGCATTTTCAGTTCATACTAATTAACACTTGATTAAATGGGTCTACTTTCTCTTAACCCTTACCATCCCAAACCCTTGAAAATCCTCCAGGTGGTTTTAGAGGATTCAAGCTGCATGGCAAAATGACACTGCTGATTGCGAAGGATGCACTGTCTGAAGCTTGCGGGTTAGACCTTGTGTTGTTTGTGGTCAGCCATGCATAAATGCACGTCCACATTATATGTGAGACCCTCCATACTGCTGCACAATACCATTCACACTGCCTCAACATAATGAGAAGAATTGCTGAAGGATTTTTAAAGGGTTGAGGCAGTGGGCACCCCTCTAAAGAACATATTCAAGAAAAAGTGGAGAATTTTAGAGGATTGAGGCTGTACCCAACTTTTTCATGGGGGCAGTTGGAGGATTTTGAAGGATTGAGGGTGTATCCTCTGAACAGGGCTTAGTTAGTTAGGTTTCTTCTGGATAGCAAGCTGTTTGAGGAATCCTTGATTTCATAACCAGAAATGCTTAATAATAATAAAAATATCATGTTTTGGGAATAAGACACTTCAAACAGGGCCCTGTAAATTTGTTGGGTTTATTTACCATACTTTACTCTTACAAAGACCTTGACTGAACTGTGAGTTTGATGGCGCAGCACACAACATGACTGCCACTCTTGTCCAAACTGACCATCAACAAAATACTCTCCTACCCTGAGTCAGTGGTCAAGCAGTAACAAGCCCAGTGTGGGTCAATCCTAGTTTTACAGCAAGGCCAGCAACTTACGGTCTCCAATGTGCACAATCTTCTTGCGTTCTTCAACGGTGGCTAGTCGTCTCCACAGCGAGGGGTACTTTTTGTAAAGTGAACCCCGGAACATACGCAAATAATAGCCAACCTGGGCAGCAAATACAGCCATGACAAAATTCAGTGAAAAAGAATTACAGTAAACATCAGTGTAGTAATATTTAGGTATATACACTTCCAAATATCACAACTCTGCCGATTCTATGTGGAACAAATAATATCATAACGACATCTTAACAACATAACTATTACTAAAGTCAATGTTGGCAAAAAAATTTACAAAAGGAAAGGAGCGTTTACACTCAATGTGATGGATGAAGGAATTAGGAATAGTGCTAAATGTGCTATCACTGGAAGTGCGTAATCACACTCCGAAATTACATGTATGTAGTTTGTCGCAAGATACTAATATTGGGGGTGCGTGTTATGTAGGTCCTAACATCATGGACGATGTGTTATTAGCCTACGTGAACGAAGCCAGGAGTCACTTTGGGCATGTTCATGATGCTAATGTTAGGACATGGCTTTTGTGTTTCATAATTTCAAATTCTCACCAAACCAAATGCATGCATTTAGTCCTCTCACGGCAACAACAGCCTTGAACCGTACATACCTCCGAACCTATCATGTACTTTTCTCCGCCTTCTTCGAACTGGAAAACATCCGGTTTTTTGCCGTAAGTCCGTAAGGGGACTGGGATTTTGTCACCGTTTGCCGCCATGATCGACTGCTCACATGTGTGTCACGTCGTTGCGCGTATAGCCGTACGCGGTATACGATTGTTCCGTTGTTTCACGGGAATTTTTTCGTAAGTACAAAGAAGTTGAACAGCGCCCTCTTGCGTCACATTGTTGAGAGCTCGTGTGTTAAAACAAAGTTTTCCCAGGGAAAATTTTAAATTTGTTACCATGTTTTATTTTTCAACGTTTTCTGATTCAGTTCCACGGATGCTTTTGCGCTATTCTTGCTTTCATTACCTAAAATATCACAATAATTAACACTAAAACTCAAAAATCTGCTGAAAGTTGAAAAAAGATGCTCGTTTATTTCTGCCCTCTCTCTCTTATATATAACAAACATACTAACATTCTCAAGTTTTACGCAAAAATGAAACACAAATAATTATAAGCACTGGCGAAACGTACTCGATCTGGGTGGAAGCACATAACGAGATTGGAACCTTTGGCACAAACATCCATAAAGCAAAACGCAGTCAAGTCCAACTGGACTGGCCTTCTGACATTATGATTGATTTTGGAGTGTCTAAGAAGAGTGGCTTCATCCTTGCTTTCAGAAGCTTTTCCCAACCGACAAGTCCACGTGATTATAAACAGGTTATGGACCGTGATGCAAAACGAGGGTTTTCATACAAAGTCAAGTGCTACTTTACTCCTGATAAGAACTGCATGTGCAGCTGTCATAATTATAAAATATTGCCTGTGTCAGAACGTAAATAAGTTTAGTTTGATGTATAGGTTTAGCCATTGCAGTTTGGGAATTGCACACCTGTTTACTGCTCCTAAACGCATTTACAACTTGATGGCAAGATTGTGTTTAATAGCTAAACACCCTTTTTAAAGGGTATATTAGAAAAGCAGATGCTTATTTTGACAGGCACAACGCCGATAGTCTCTCCGTAATAATGCCTGAAGGCCTTTGATATGTCTTCCATTTCCTTTGAGTCTGTGAGAAATTGCCAATGTGTAACACGACAACAGATGCAATGTCCCTCGTTACCATGGCAACAGTTTGCCTTCCCAGGTGAAGGCCTTGCCCGCATCCTTCTCGCTCAGACGGGTCAGGACCCGCAACATTCCCTGGATACTCCTCCGAGGCGTCAGGGTGGCGTTCTTGCCTCCCATGTCCGTCTGAACCCAGCCAGTATGCATAGCAACGACCAAGATGCCTTGCGGGGTCAGGTCAAAGGTCATGCACTTGGTCAGCATGTGCAAAGCAGCCTGTGTGTTGTAGACAGACAATCAATGAGGATTGAAGTTGTAGATTTGAATGTCATAAAATCCTGAGTTTTTTAAAAGGTCGTGACATCAGTAGGCCTACGATTCAAGCCCACGGCGGCGACATATTCCGTTAACCCCAAAACGGATAAATAGAGGGACGGGGCAAGACCAATAAGAGGTTGTAAAAGATTTTGTAGCCTACACATTACACAATGCATCGTGCGAAAAGCTCTCGAGAAATGATCTTGCACTGTTCATTTTCATTAACAGTTCCATTATTGTTGGTTGCAAACATCTGCTGTGATTTTGGGACCTGTTCTCCATTTGAAGCCGGGAAACCGAGGAGGCTTGATTGATAAATGACCACCACGTTTTCCTTTTAATTTTACCTTAGTTGTTCTGTATGGAATGTATCGACTTGATGTGCAGAGTTGAAATGACCCGAGTGCAGACGTGATGTTGACGATGGCTGCTCGGCCAGTGCTGAGATGTTTAGGGTTGTCTGTTAAGCGGTTGGTCTCGGCTGCTCTTTTCAAAGCAGGTAGAAATGCCTGAATGGTAGCCAACCAGAACAGGAAAATTAACAGCGGTACGTGCATGATAATCGCTTAAAAATACGGGGTAACGTCAGAAGTGTAAAAATGATCTCCAACCTTACAGGAAATCAACCTCTTTAAAAGTTTTATAGTTATAAGATAGTTTCCCCGGAGAACGCAGCCAAAGTCCATATACTGACATCTGAATATTGGTATTAAATGTGCACTATTGTACTGTATTTTACAACATTAATCTACTGAAAACGGGTGGAAACAAAGTTTTCAGTAAACTAACATGTTTGTTACAAATAATTACTGTGCTTTTGTGAAATGCATGCAGTACAGTACGGTATTTTTAACAGTAATATTTCACAGTGTTGACACATATTGACACTGACGAGGCATTGCTGCTTTCGCAAAGTAATTTCGCGATTTTTCATTCTTTAAGGCCGGTTCATATACTTCACTCGAATGCGAAAGCGAAGCGAAATTGACGTCACGAAAAGCGAGCTTTACGCAAGATTTGACATTTTTTGGCAAATGTTTGTGCTTTTTGGATGATCCATTGCCTAATAAGAGAAAATTTACGGGAAAAATGAAAAAGGATTATACCAGAGGGGCCAATCAATGCATATGGAAGTACATTTCAACAACATAAATGAAGTAAGGCTGAGATCAAGACTTCTGGATACGAGGTACATACATAATTATATTTGAAGTATACATCTGATTAATCTGTAATAAACAGAATCTGGACCTGAATAATTTATACATGTGTTGAATGACTTCGTAATCAATGAAAGTGGTATTACTTGATGGGACTGATATCTACACTAAATTAATGTAAATTAACCGAGATTAATTACTTTTGCTTTTAAAGTTTTATAGGTTTACACTTAATTACTGTCCAATAAATGACAGTGATTTGCGGTACAAAAATTCACTGTGAGTGTATTTTACTGGCGCCCGTGCTGCTGGTAAAATACTGTGAAAAATTACAGGCGAAAAATTACAATGAAGAATCTATTTTGGATTTAGTTTGGAGCTAACAAAACGTAAAGATCATTTGAGTTGCCTAACGCTCAACGAGTAAAGCACAAGCGAAGTAAAAAGAACATTTAAATAGATTTTGTTCTGGTTGATGAGTTTGTATCAAAATACATGAATTGGCTTCTGGCGACCAGCTTGGCGACGACCTATCAAACACCTTGAACTGAGACTAGTCTACCTGTGATACAGCAAACGGTCCCATGACATTGACCCGGTAGCTTTCCTCCATGTCCGCCATGCTAGTGGTCTCTGTACTCCCTCGCTGCAGTACTCCAGCGTTGTTTATCAGCACCCCTAGCCCCTCCTCACCCACGTTCTGGTTGACCGTCTCAACGGCGTCTGGAAATGTCGCCTTGTCTGTGACATCTTGAAAGAGACGCAAGACCTTCAGTAAAGCCATGAAGTGAGCACGCTTCGCAATCAAGCCACTGCGGCTTTGTGAGAAGGGTTTCGGAAGGATCTATTGTGGGCTTAACTTGATCTTACCAACAAAACCAAACCAAACCAAAACATATTTTGTTTTCCTTGTTACACATGACAATGCTGTGATTTAATTAAGCGAAAGGCCGTATTTCCCCTTGTCTTCCGCACTCTCAAAACTTCCTACACCCCAAACTCTAAGGTACAGAGCCTAGTTACTTGCAAACCAGAACACCTGTGCATCAACAAACATTATGGCTTGTAATCCTTACCAAAAATCTCTAGACTAATGATCAGCTGCAAAGCAGACGTGGATATGTGATAAATCAATACCGGCGATTCACAATAGTGCGCCTCCATGAGTTTGCAACGCTTTGGCCAATCACAACGCGCGAAATCTGTCGACCCTTTTCAAACGCACATTGGGTCGACAGATTTCGCGCGTTGTGATTGGCCAACGAGTTGCAAACTCTTGGAGGCGCACTATTGTGAACCACCCGAATTACTGCCAAGGACTGCGCGCGTTCTAAGTGCTCGAGAGCGGCACACAAACTGCGAGACTCACGCGCTCGAGACGTACAACTTTCAACCAATCATATTGTTTGTATGCCAATGACCTAGGCCGTTTTCCAATACTCAACTTCGTCTCCGTCGCAGGCTTCGTTCCCAAAACCAATCCCCGATTGTGGGCTTCAAACATTTCAATTACATTGAATTATTGTAATTTTTGGCTTTCTTGCATCTTATTTGATGTTCAGTGGCACTATTAGACTGATTACTGCGCTTACAGGTTCAAAGTCAGCAAGTAAAAAACAGTTGAAGCCTGAGACGGAGCTGAAGTTGAGTATTGGCAAACGGTCCTAGCTAGCTAGCTGCTCCGTGTGAACTGGATGCCACCGTGTTCACAGAATGTGACAACAGCTGCTAGCCAGACGTTTTCATAGGTGCACGTGATATTTTCCAGCCATAGCTGTAAGGTTAGGATTCGATCACAGGTGGCGCCCTTTAACACACTCGAAATCATCGCTGAACCGGACAGTTTCCTCGAAATGAGGTGTTTTGTTGAACAAAATTAATGACATAATAGTCTACATGTTTGGACCTTAAAAGAATAACTTTACCCAGCTTGACGATCTTTAATTGATGCTTATCTTTAGACAAATTTTGCAATTCCTGTGGAGAAAGTGAAAACAATAAACATAAAAACTCGCCAATACTTCGACACAAATTGCCTGTACGATTTGTTTGGGATTGTAAAGATCTAAGTGACTTAAAAATTAGTTTAGAGGCAATTGAAATATTAAGGGTGGAAAAATCTCACTGAATAAACAATTAAAAAAATATTCAGGAAATAATTTTTTTAATGGGTTTATATTCAAAGACTGTTAGTCTTAATTTTGTCTCACTTGCTCTCTAAAAAAGTAATAGTGGTTAGAAACAAAATCACCGCATTTGATATATTTTGAAAACAGCAGAATTACAAACAGTAATTTTAAAAACGCGAAAACGTCTTCAGAGTATTTCCTTGAGATCATATAATTTTCTGTTTGGAGGGGAATACGAAATACAAATACATGAACAAAAAATGGACCTTTGGCGAGGGAATCGGGTGCTTGTTTATAATATTTATATGAGTCATCTTGCGTCACTTTTCCGGAGACGCTCTCCCAGAGAATAGGGACAGCCCTTGGTTCGTGCCTGAAAGCCCCCTCCTAGGTCAGATCGCCCACACGGTGATTCTAGTTCGGCGTGGAGTCACAGATTACAGAAAGGGTAAAAAAATATATCCTCCCAAAAGTGTTTGTTTTTCTTTGGTGAATGTTTTGATTTTGTTTTCAAATGAATCGGTGGAGTGGAATTTTAGGACTCACGTTTAAAGAGGTTTTGAGGTGAAAAAAGTCTTAGAATAAGCGTAGAATAGGCTATTTCGGTTGTTATCTAACACATCACTAGTATTTTTTAACATACCAGCGATCGCTGTCTTGTCAGTAACGCAATAGAGTCTGGTGTTTCAAATAACATGCTCCATCCTCCAGCTTTTGCAATATATCCCCCTTAAAATCGCTTTCAAATCGTCCACGCTCCAAAACTCAAAAATTTGTCTTAAAGCTACACTTTGCCTTAAATTTCTGAACAAATTTTCTATCTTGGTAAATTCTAACATTGTTCGACATTCGGTTACATTGCGGCTTCGATCATTGTACTTGAGGAAGCATGGGAAAAATTTAATGTGAAGATTTGATTCTACGACGAAAAAAGCATAATTATTGTCCATTCATCGGTTCTTTCGAAATCTTTTACAATAACAAAACCAAGGCGGTAATACCCTTAACCAGCCACACTTTTCTCTTCATCAGCCAAACAAAGCAAATTACCTTGGCGTCTTCAGGGTTTCGGCAGCAAGCAAAGACATGCTTTGGCGATTCTTCGAGCTGCAGAAACTGCCGAACAAACTCCAAGCCGACACCTCGATTCGCTCCCGTCACTAACACTGAGTGCATCCCGGCGAGAGGAAAACTGGCCCAACAAAGTGCAACCCCCCCGAACAAACAGCTCGTCAGTAAATTTATAAAATTGCGGCAGAAGCACTCCACGTTTAGGACCTACTGTCTTTGTCTTGCGCGTCCTTGTATCGACGGACACTTCCCTCTTTCCAACGCGCTTTCGGGGCTAACTGTCAAAAAATTACGAGTCACTCGTGAACACCTTGAAATATAATAGACTACTGGATCACGTGGTACGGTGTCGGACATGACCAGACAGCGCCTTAATTTCTCCTAGATGGGAGTTTAGGAGCGCGCTCCCCAGCGATCAAAGAGTGAGTCATGTTGGAAGCTGGAAATAACCCCTTTCCCTAACCCTGAGATTGAGTTTACAGGATTTAATTTACAGACTCTGCATATTTTCGGTGTTCTGGGCAATACTTCTTTGTACAGGACCAGGGAAGGGATCTGCAAGTGGGAGGGATGCCCGTGTCAAAACCCCCACAATCCAAGTACAAAAGGAATCTAGTAGTTGGCCTTTGACGGGAAAACACGCTTCACAGCAATCCATGGTCTAATGCCAAATTGACAGCAAGTATGATACAGTTTGCAGGGATAAGGTTACAGTTCGGGGGATCAGTGGAGGCAGTGCCATTGGATGATAGCATTATGGTGGATTGATGTCCATGAGCAAGTTACTTTACAGTGTGCAACTTATAGACCACTAGAAAATGAAACTACAGTGATCCCGACGAGTTTCCTTTTAGTTTATATGAGATTTTGCTATGGCTGTTGATGTCAATAAATATGTAGTTGAAGTTACAATAGAGTTGTAAACAGGACTCTTTTTTATTTTTTGATTTGATAATTTTTTGTTGGGGGGCAGGGGTCGGCACAAGGGGAAGGTGGAAGGAGGGAAGTTCATGCTTCCTCCTTTGATCACAACCTGGGCATCCAACAGCATTTCTAAAATTTGATAAAAACGAAGTGAATTTTCCATTTTGTATCATATTTCCTTAATCTTCAAGCTATGCGGTTTTAAAATGATTTCTTTTCGGGGGGAGGACACTTACTTTTTACAATGACCACACCTGACAAACCAATTCAGGGCAAAATGTGAAATGATTTGATTGCTCCACGGAGAAGGTGGAATTTATTTCCCGTTACCTTAAAAAAAAATCACTGCAATTTCTTGGAATATCTCAAAAAGCTCTTGAAGCTTTCTACTTGTACTATGCCTTGTTCTAACTTGGAACATGAGCTTTCCAACTGTGACCAACCTGGGATTATCACTGGCTACTCCTGACTGAGAATGCCTGGGAGTGTGCATATGTGGGTTGAAGCCGTTTCCAAATCTACAGTGGCTACAGCTGAGAGTATCCCACGTCAATAGGAATGACTTTAATAGCCAGTAGCCAGTGGCTTTCATAATGGCTTTAGAAACAGCTTAGCCAAGAAGCAACCCATTCTGCTAAAAATATATTTCTTTGAAATGTGCCAGAAACAGTATTCTTCAAGACTAGGGACTTAAATGCATTCCTTTGGAATTTTCTTTACACTCCTTTCCAAAAACATTTTTCAATCATGTTCAGCTCCCGAGAGTGAGGGAGTGGCACAAAATATGATTCCAGTGACGAGAAAATGGCAGCTGAAACGCTGAAATAAATTCAACTCATGGGAAATTAATACAAATTGCAGTGAGTCAAGAAATAAAATATGAATTCTTCAAAACTAAACAAACTTGCTATGAAGACATGTGACATTTTGTTTAAGTATTAAAGAAGAGAAATATGTCGGAGTTCAAACATTTAGGGGCCGACTTTGTATTTGAACAGTGACAGTGAGCAGATTGAGAGACAAAACACAGAGTTTGGGAGGGTCAAAGGTTAATTTATACATGTAATTGGTTTCTCGTGATGTCAAAATTGGTAGTCTGTTCATTACTGAACTTTAGCAGTTTTGTTCATATTACACCGATTTGTTTGTTTGTTTGCTTTTGTTTTTGATTTCCTTTTCTTCATTGCCTCAACTGTCTTTGTAGCTCTGGTCTCTTTTTTTTCTTTTGGTGTTAGTTGACTTTGATTTCTTTCCTCCAGAGACAGCCTCATGCACTTTGACCTTTGATAGTTTGCTTGTTTTCTGCTTCTTGACTCCAGACAGCACAGGCTTCCCACTTTCCTCTTGGGTGACCTTTGACCTCTTTGATCTTGGTTCATGGGTTTCAGTCTCCAAGGTTTTGTGGGGCTCCTTCTGCATGACCCTTGACCCTTTCCTCCTTCGGGGTTTCTTCTTTTTCCCTTTCAAAGCTTTCTTTATAATTTCCCTGCCCATGATAAAAAAAGATGCATGGTTCAAGTACTAGGAAGTGCGTGAGGATTTGCCTAAATACCTGTCTGGCACCTACACAATTTCTTAAATTTCCCAGAAAAAAACCTGTATTCTAGTTTCCTTTGAAAATGTTTTTTTTTCTCTCAGATAGTTTTAGAAATTACTGATTACAGTTTTAAAAATTACTGATCCTCAAAACTTAATTACTGCAGAAATCTTTAGCCAAGAATATGTTTGATTCAGAACCATACATATAACAGACTACAACAATTCCTCAGACATCACAAGAGAAAAGTAATCCGTGGACATCACAAGAGAAAAGCAGACTGTGGACATCACAAGAGAAAAGTAATCTGTGGACAGCACAAGAGAAAAGCAGACTGTGGACATCACAAGAGAAAAACAGACTGTGGACAGCACAAGAGAAAAGCAGACTGTGGACATCACAAGAGAAAAGCAGACTTTGGACAGCACAAGAGAAAAGCAGACTGTGGACATCACAAGAGAAAAGTAGACTGTGGACATCACAACAGAAAAGTAATCCG